TTTGTAGGTTTTACCCCACAAAAAGGATCGATTTATCTAGAGCAAATAAATAAACTATCAAATAAGCCGGTCCCTGGCAACGATGCAAAAAACTTGATGCGTACAAATAGCTACACCTAATTTGAATACTTGTAACCTAACTACCTTAACTATCTAATTGCACCTAGGTAGTGTACCTAGTCAAAATTATAGAATAGTCGGGTAAGCCGGGTGTCGATCTCAGTGAATGATATTGATTAGTTAACCTATCTACTATTAGATAAACCTAAATTATCAACAAAGTTGGGATTTTTATTTGATTTTACAAGACCAGATGAACTTAAGTCTCGAAATTCAATCAATTACTAAAAACACTCTTGTTTGGTTCGAATCCGCTTCTTCTTTATGGTTAGCTAATAATTATGGATTATCAAGTTGGTTATTATTGTATTAGTAATTTAAGTCTAAATTTACCAATATTAAACTAATTCATGTAAAACTATGTATGGTCACACACAATCGAACACATAATAAGTTGTAGATTATGAATTTGCTATGTAAAATTAGGCAAACATAATTATGGTCAAAATTTATGTTCTCTAGCACAAATAAATTTATTTACTTCAATTACTATCTAAGATTTTCATCAATCCTAGCTCTAGCAATTTAATGTTCACTAAATCACTAGATTTCAAGTTCATGTAATTTTAAAAATCACTAAGCTACACAGAACATGAATTCAAGCATGTAAAGAAACAAATATTAACATGCTAGGTAGTAACAAATGAAACACAAGCAAGTTACCAACTAAATAAATCCATTATCAATAAGCTAAATCATAAGTTAGAAACTTCATCTAGCTAAACAAGAGTAGCTAGATTCAGTTGCTTATAGCCACAGATAAACTACAATAAATCATAATAGAAGTCATACTGAATGTATCAAATAAATAAACTAATGATGTACTTTTCTCTCCTTAGGTGATAAAAATCTTTGTAGAACTTTTTCTCCTCTCAAAATCATCTCTGGGTTTGCCTTATATCAGCCAAAAAGTCCTCCCAATTGTAATGGCCAAGAGTATTTATAATTTCTAATTTTTCCAGCCTCACGTCATAAGAAATAACGTCGCACGTCATGAGCACGTATCTATCTGTGCTATATAAGGACTCTTCCATCCGGATGCATATATTCTAGATTACTTCACTCACGTCGTGAGCCTTCAACTCTCACGTCGTGAGTGCGAATTATTGTTGGATTCCTATCTTTCTTCTTTTAAGCCTTCATAGTTTCATGCTTTGTCCATTTTGGTCCCTTTCTTCGAAAATGCTTCACTTTGGCTGCAAACAAAAATTTATCGCTATAAGTACCATAATTCTATGCGAATAACCAAAATATTAATAAAAATATAAATAAATATTGCCTAAAAATATGTATAAATATAGCAATATCATTTATGTTATGATTGTTGACATGATATGTATACCAGACTTCGGTCTGATGTTGGGCGGGGCTCGATGCACGGGCTAAGCCCAAGTTATGCCTAACCACGGTTTGATGTCGGGCAGGACCCGATGCTGGGTGGGGCCCGATGCAGTGGGTTGGGCCCAATATTTGATTATGTGTATAGTATGTGGTAGCTTGGAGGGACTCACAAAGCTTCGTGCTGACGGTTTACAGTTTTGTTTTCAGGTACTTCCACTAGTAAAGGGAAGGGCTCAGGATGATTGCAGCGCACACGCCATAGTTCAGCCTGGGGCGTTTTAGACTCTGATATTTTTTCATATTATTTGATACAACATTTGATGTGATGTTTGGAGACACATGGTTTATGATTTTATTTATACCAATTTATAAATTATGGTTTTATTAATGTTTTAAAAACGAAAATTTTGGACCGTATTTTTGGAGTGTTTCACTATGGGACCAAAAGATGCCACATTCTACCCTAAACCTAGATCTAAGCTTGTAATTATCAAGGTTCAAACTTTATGCCTTCATTAGGATGGAAATGGTGCAAAAGCTCTGGATCTACAAAGTCCTTCTTCTTTTTTGCTTCCTACCAAACTTCATTTTCATTCAAAACCACCAAAGGACACTACAAACACTCAAGGCAAACTCAAAATGAACATAAGGAGGTTAGGGTAGCAGATTTGCACTAAAAGGGCAGTGGCGACTGAGAGGGAAAAGGACTTGAGGGACTTAAGGTCTTTAAATAGGGTCCAAACCCTAAAAGTTAAGGTTTTCCCCTTGCTTGATTATGTCCAACATACACATATTTCCACCTATCGTACATTGGGGATCCCCCAATGATGCACGTACAAGGAGTACGATGTGTGTACCTAGTGTACGCCTAGCATACTTGCAACCCTCCAACACCTTTTAGTTGAATTAAACATAGAATGAAATAATAACATATACCTAGCGACTCTGGTGCTACATACACGAATCGTCCCTATGGTTTGGGGTAATCTTCACGCTTGGTCCCTAATTTTTTTTGTTAACTCGGACAGTCTGTAAGACGTCATTTTGTTGCACGTTTGGTGCCTACCGGGCCTAAAAAGATTGTATTGCGCTTAATGTTATAGTTTTTTTTAATTTTTTTTATTATTTTAATTATTTATAAATAAAGTAAAAAGATTTTATCGGTCCCACCATTACTTTCACCCTTCCCATGTCTCTTAATCATCATCATTGACCATCTGCTACCCATGTTACACATTCCTTTCTCCTTCCTCCCCTATCTTCGCTAGGAAAGCTCATAACCACCTCATATTCTCTCACCGACAAGCATAATGACCACTCCTCTGTTAACACCATTGCCTTCTTGAACCTTGATCGAGAAAGAAGGGGTGATACCGAACACTGTACGTCTCTGCCGTCGGAGACCGCTGAATAGCGCACCACACCACTGCTTAATCGTTACATCGGAGGTCGTATTAGCGATCTAGCACTGTTGCTTGGACCATCATCGACCTCTGGACCAGTGTTGGTGGTGTTAGGGTTCCACCACCATAAAATCGACGAGCGCACAATCAAATAGTACAAATCGACGCCACCTGCATTTGCTGCTCCAGCCATAAATGTCACCACCCATGCCAGTGCCTCTTTTCAGATCCAATTTCTTTTGTCGGACATTCAATTTGTAGGTTCTCATTTTACCGAGTTTGGCTGAAATCCTTTTCAGTCTTTGAAAATTTCAACGACTCTTCATTGGATATGCAATCATCTTTAGACCACTGTATCTACACGACCTACGTGGATTTGATTTTAGTAGGATTGTTTTAGGTTTCATTTTAGTTTTAATTTTGTTTGATCTTAAGGAAGAAACTTGGAGAACCAACAATTCATATTAGGCGCCTAAATATTTCAGAAGGGTGCATGATGGTGGTCACAACTGGGATTTTAGTTATGGATTTGAGCTTGAAATGCATGTTTGATTTTGAATTTAGGTTTGGGTTTGAGTTGTTGGTTCGATTTTGGTTTCAAATCTGAGTAGCATATTCGATTTTGGCCGAAGAACTGAAATTGTGTTTCGAGATGATCACTAGATGTGATGTCGGCACTAAAAGAGGAACCAGAAAAGGATTTAAGGTGGAGCAGGTTCTTTTTCAAAAAATATATTAATAGTTTACTTTATTTAATAATAATTAAAATAATAAAGAAAGAACTAAAAAATAAAAGTATACCATTAAGGGCAATACGTCTGCTATGGACCAAACACGCAACAAAATTACATATTAGACACAGTCCGAATTAAGAAAAAGAATTAGAGACCAAACACACAGAATACCCGAAACCACAAGGACCATTTGTGTAAGTGAATCTTGTTTTTCTTTGTATAATGATTTAAAAGCATAAATTGGTGTATACCAGGAAAAAATGTTATATATAGGTCAGTTTCCTTTTATAAAGAGGGAAAGTACATGATTTAAAAGGATTTTATCCTTCCTACAAAAATGTTATACCCAATGGTATTTATTTCGTTGAGAGAAAGATAGACAATGGGTGTGTTTGACAAAAGTAGTTGTTAGCTGGTAACGTGTAGCGGGTAGCAGGAAGTTGTAGCTTTTATTTATTATATGAATGTTTGACAAAAATAGCTGAAAGTTTTTGAAATATATAAAATTAATAAAAGAACAATTGATTGAAAATAAATAAATATATAAATATATTTTAAGGGTAATTATAAAGATTAATTTCAAAAACTCAGTAGCGTTTTGCTAAATACTACATGAAGCAGCCTTTAGAATTAGAGCGTTTTGTTTAAACTAAATGTTTAACGCTCATATTGTCAAACAAAACTTTTTGTTTAAACTGAAACGTTTTGTCAAAAGTTAAAAACTAAAAACTCTCAAATGCTTCCAAAAACTCTGTATCAAACACGTCATATGTTATCTAGCATTAACTATGTATCACTTGTGGGTTTTAATAAAATTATGTCTCGGGTACAAACAAACAAAAAACAAATAATAATAATGATAATAGAATAAAGATAGATTATTGTCGAAATCAAACTTTCTTTGTCTCATTTACTATCGATAATAATACAACAAACATTTGGCATATCAATTATTGATCTTTTGTTTTCCAGCATTAACTATGTTGTCCAATTCATTCCAAACCTCAAAATCGATGGATTTCTCTTCTCACAAATTGGTATATCTATTGGTTAGGTTTTGTTTGTTCCTTCCGTATACGGTATAAACTAACTTGATTTAGATTTATTAAAGAAACCATAATACTGATGAAATTAAATTATTTCTAATGAATGAATGTTTATGAAAACTTGGTTATTAATTATTTTGCAAAAAAAAAAAAAAAAAAAAAAAAAAAAAATAATTCTCCTTAGGACATAATATTCCACAATACTTGGCTTTAATAGAAATGATACAAGCATAAAAATATCACTTCGTAAATAGATTCCTACTGTATTGGAATTCAACGTGGTTTATATATTACAATACATTGCGTCTCATTCTTAATCTTTTCCTCTTACAGTATAACAACACGCTATATATATCTCAACTTACGTCTTCTTCCGTTCTCTTTCTTTCCAGTGGAGGTGGTTGTGATGGCATCGGTGGTTCTACGGTGGTTACCGGTGACACCACCATCTCAGTATGAGCGGTTGCCGCCTCTCTTGCCTCCCGAAACTTCTTGTAGATATCACTTCGGTAGAATTTTCTTGTTCTTATCACTAAAATAAACGAAATAAAAGCTGCAAAAACTGTCGCACCAGTTATAACAAGGAAAGACAATTTATAACAGTCAACTCCTGTACACGTTAGATCTTTCCCATGTTCTCGTTCTAATCCCTTCGCTTTCATTTGTCTTTCTGCCTCTTTGTCATAAAGTGCACCGGCGACCACCACATTAAGGATGTAAGCTCCGACGGGGCTTGCGCCACCACCCAAATTGTACAAAGTAGAGTAGTATTTCAACCCGAATATTTCAGATATGATTGCGAAAATCAATGGCCATTGAGCTCCAAAACAAAAACCCATTATGATCGATGAAACGTAGAGCCCATTTGGTACTCCCATGGCAATTATGACATGTCCCACACAAGAAACACAAAGGACGATTGTGAGCATTAATGGGCGTGGAAATTTATACCTTGCTAAAAGGATTTCCGAAAGAAAACCGGATGTGACCCGACCCAGATAATTCCAAATACTCACGAGAGACACGAAGGTGGTGATACTCGTACTTGGGTACCCGAGAGACCGCCCGATTTGACCCAGGTTGTCAATCGCCGTCAAAGTGCCGCCAACGCCGAAGGTGGTGGTGGTGAATAGTATCAACATGTCGATACTAAAAACCGCTTGTAAGATAGTGAAATCATCTCCTCTTTCCGGTGGAGCAAAAACGGTTTTCCAGCAAGAAACTTCTTTCTCCGGCGGTGGTGGCGGTGGCGTGACAAGGTCATTCCTTGTGGTTGGATTCTCGGTTATTACCTTCACCGGAAAATGATGATGAACCACCTCCTGATTCTTTTTCCAAAGCTTGAATTCTTCCTTGAACACGATACCAATAGGGGCAAAGAGTAGAACCACAACAACGGAAGCTGTGGCAGCATACTCTGCCTCCGAAAAGTGTAGCTTGTTATGAGTTATGATTATAATCATAAGAAACCCTGCTAACCCTAATGAAATATATAAAAAATTATAGAAAGTTTTTAGCTCATTTGACTGTTGAACAACCTTCAAGATTCTAACAATTCGAAGAAAAACTATGGAGACAGCTGCTGGAAGCCATCCGATGAACAAGATAAGTGATCTTGGATCATGCCCATAAAAGCCATTATATAGTTGAGTGATAATCGCGCCACTTAACCCTACAAAACCCTTCAAAAGTCCCAAAACCACCCCACGACTTTCTGGGAAGTTTTGTACACAAGTGACTAAAGCTCCTGTATTAGCAAATGTTTGTGAGTTTGCACCTATGCAAATGAACAAACACATTTGCCAAACCGGTGGTTTTGCGATCTTTCCGGTGACTGCCAGCCAAATCATGAAGTACCCACAGAAGTTCATGCCGGCGCCAAGGAGGAGCACCACCCACGGTGGTGAGATTTCGTTAATTAACCCGGAGATGATTCCAACATTGCCACCCAAGTCTTTGAAAGTGCTAAGGAGATTAAGGGTGCTTTGATCATACCCAAGGGAGGATTTGATGTCGCCGGAGTATATAGCAAATATGTAAGTAGCTCCGGCGACTGACATGATGAGAAGGCAGGCGAACACCATGAACCACCGCCCTGTGACGACATGGAGACCGAAGCTAGCAATATTGGTCATCCCTCCACCACCACCGGAGGAACCAGAACGAGAAGGCTGAGCCACCACCATGCGTTCGATATTTTGGTTTTCGTGGATAGAAAATATGTGGGAGTTGAGATGTGCATACGAGAGAGTGATGAATATGGTGTTGTGTCACATCCATTTATAACACTATTCATGTTGTAGACAAATTGTTTTGTTGACTTTGAAGTGGACCTACTTCTGTATTTGGATTGGGAAGTGAAGAGGAATCAAAGATAAATTCAAAGTATATCGCAATCATCGACGATTGATGTGTCCAATTATCATGGAATGTCAAGAACCTTTTCGTAAAAATTAGTAAAACTAATGTACCGGCTTTTATTTATTTATTTATTTATTTTGCATCTTTCGTAAAATTTATAAAAGCATATAAAAAATAGAAAAAACTTCGGAATAATTAATTTATGAATAAATTCTTTCGAAAAAAGATTAGGTTAATCTCATAAAACATTTTACATAGTGGGTTTTTTCGAATTAAAATTTTATTTTATATTTTTGGTTGACAAAAACTTTGTATTTTTTTTTTTTTTTCGATACGATTATTTTAGGAATTTTTTTTAATAAATATTTATAAAATGTTAGGGTATTATTTTAAAAGAAAAAAACATGTTTTTCGGAAAACAATAAAAAGCTTGAAGGTTTTTTTAAATAAAAAAAAAAAAAAAAAAAGTGGAAGGCCTTGCCTGAGTGCGACTGACCAATTTGGTAGAAGTTTTGTCTGTTAAATTGAAGGTGTTAAATTCTAACCCTGGCGTTTAACAATTTCGCGATGCTAACTTATAACAGCTAATCCAACCATTTAAAAAAAAAGTTTATTTTCATTTTTCCAAAAAATGAAAATAAAAAAAAAACAACTTTTAAAGAAAAATATCACCATATAAGATTACTTATGAAATTAAGCCTATCAATCATTATTGCTACGATATGCTTTCATATTGATTTTAATGAAAAAATATTGGAGAAATTGAGTAAACTAATAACCATAATAAATTAGA